GGTTTTATTTTTTAATTAATTTTTTATTTTCATCCTGGTCATAGTTTTCCCTCCATCCTCTCCTCCCAGTTCCTCCTTACCACCTCCCATCTACTCCCCCATCCACTCCTCCTCCTCCATTTCAATTCAGAAAAGGGCAGGCCTCCCAAAGATATCAGCAAAACATGGCATATCAAGTTTCAGTAAGACTAAGCACCCCCCCTTGTATTAAGGCTGGACAAGGCAAACTAATACAAGGAATAGATTTCCAAAAGTCAGCAAAAGATTCAAAGGCAGCTCCTGCTTCCGCGGTTAGGAGTCCCACAAGAAGACCAAGCAACACAAATGTCACAAATACAAGTGTATTGTCAGAATCTGACAATTGTGTGTGTGTACCCACAGAGGCTAGAGCAGTGGTCAGATCCCCCAGAGTTGGAGTTATAGGCAGTTGTGAGCTACCTGACATAGGTGCTGGAATCTGAACTCAGGTAGTCTGAAAAAGCAGTAAGCATTCTAAGCCACTGAGCCACCTTTCTAGTTTTTATTATAACCTCTCAGCTGTGATGTGAAGTAAAAGCAGTCATGCATGCTATGCAAATGAATCAACATGTCTATTTTCCAATATAACTTAGTTTACAAACCTGAGCTATGACTTAGGTTGGACCCACTCTAGTTCACTTGCCAACTCCTGCTTTGACCACTGCTACTAAGAAGCTATCAAATATTCATTAAATGTAACATACTACATGGTATTTAAAATCTTTCCATATATGCTTCCTGATTCTAATAGTGAAATCTGTGTTATTTATAGACTCGTTAGTCTGATTAAAGAGACCCCACAAATGTAGTGATCTGAACAGTCAGAAATCATGCCTGGTTGCTTCTATAGTGGCAATCCCTCTATGTCTGATAGAGAAAAACCTGATAAATATTATTACTGCTGGAAACTCTCTGATGAAAGCCACTAAAGATTTCTTTATGTTCTCTAGGCTTTTTTTTAAAGCTGCAGCATCTTAAATATTATATTTAGAAGCTGCAATATCCTTTTTATAAAGGTTATGAAAATGTGCGTTGGTTATTTAGTATTTTTAATCTCTACCAGGTCAGTAAATATAAGGAAGGGACAGGCCACAGGATGCAAGAAGCCTGCATCTGTGTAGCTGCGTGGAGCAGAATCAACTTTTCTTGTTTCGTTGACAAATCTCCCTTGAATGATGCTTGAGCAAAAAAAGACATTTTTTGGAAGGCATCATCAAGCTGTTAGCCTCGCTTAGCTAATTCATTGAGTATATTAGATACAACCAATGTTGTCAGAAGAATTGATGTGCCCTTTCAAATTGGAATGTCAAATTGGAATTCAATATTTTACACCCCTATCAACAGTGTATGAAAAACATCCATTTACCTATGAAATACAGTATCCAACTTTTTGGATCTGTGACAGTTTGAGAAAAAAATCTTACTGTTGAGCTTGTATGTCTCCAATAAATATAATGGTGCCTTTTCATTCTTTTATATTTATTGCACTTTTCTGTGAGCTGCGTGTAATTTATTTGCATTTTATCTAGATTTTTTCTTCTTTTTAAGTTATCAGTTAACATCTAATTCAGCAAATGTGTGATGAAAACTGTATGTATTTATTTGGCACACAAATGATTCTATTTTTAAGAGTAGAATGCACGTGCAAGTCTGCATGCACATGTGTATGCTTGTATGTGGAGATTAGAGGTCAGCCTTGAGCATCTTTCTCAACCACTCTCATCCTTATTTTACTTTTTAAATACAAGGTCTCTTTCTGAAAATGGAGTTCATATTTGCCTAGATTGACTGGCTAGAAAACTCCTAGAGTCTTCTTGTTCATGCCTCCTTGACATTATGCCTGACTTTTATATGGGTAGTAGGAGTCAAATCCAGGTTTTCATGCTTTTGAGGCAAACGCTTTACCTACTGAACCATCTCCCCAGCCCTCTGATTTTTATGTTATGGGTTTTATTTCTCTCTGTGTTTTCTGAGTGGTCCCTTTATAATATAACAATATTCCCTAATGTTTTCTTATCCATTTATACTTTCAATTTTTATATTCAAATCTTTCTTTTACATCAACTCATTCTGGTCACAATCCAACTTTATTTCTTCAGTGATTGTCTCATTGCCACAAAATAACACCATTCTATAAGTTCCCCCTAATAATAAAAATAATACATGCTTGTCATATAATAGAATCTCATACATGTTTTGATTCATTTTAACTGTTATCTCGTACTTACCACTTTTTGTGCATCAGTTGTAGTATGTTTTTAACTGCTTGAATTTCATGGCAAACGTTAACAAATGAACAAGGATAATCTGTTAGGTTGATTAGATCTCCCTGACAGTATTTATACAATTAGAGACTTCAATTATCTTCAGACCAATTTTGTGAAAGTTCCAAAATTAACATTGGTGCTACTATTTGAAATCACATTCTATTTATAGATTATTCATGGAATAGTTGGCATGTTTATATTATTGATTATTTATTTCAACAAAAAATGTTTGCTATTTCCCTATTTTGATTCAGGAGCTTGCTAGGTATCCCAAGCTGGCCTTGAACTCACAATCTTCCTACCTCAGACATCTGAATATTGGTATTACTGACCACAGCAAACACCCTAACTTCCATTCATATTCACTTAAACCCCATATTCTCTTATTTTAATGATTCCCTTGGATAATATTTTGGTTTTCTAACACTGCTGTAACAAATGACCCCAAACTTAGAAATAAACAACTCCAATTTATTGCTTTGCAATGCTGGAGTTAAAAATCTGAAATGGATCTCTGTGAGCTAAAATCAAGGTGTCGGAAGGACTGAGTCTTTTGGGGCATTTGCGGAGAGTATCTATTCCAATGACTTTTTCATCTCCCAGGGCTACATATGTCCCTTTAATTACCCCTCCTTTGTTTCATCTTCAAAGCATTTCACTTCTCTGACCTTTCTTCCCCAATCCTTTCCTTCCTAACTACGACTGGGAAAGTTTTTCACTTATAATTTTTTTTGTGTGATTAGTCTGGGCCCTTTCAGACAAGGTCAGAGAATTACCTTATCTCAAGGATGTTACTGTACCACATTTGCAAGATTCTTCCTGTCCTGTGGGATACTATGTTAATCATAGGTTTAAGATGCAGACATCTTTTGAGTGTCATCGTACTACAGATTATGCACACATTTTAAATTAGTTATGGATCTTTCTCCTTTCATTAAACTCCATTCTAAAATTAATTGAAGGAGACTTTGATTAACTAGGGCTAAGGGATTTAAATAAAAAATGAAGTATATTTATTTTAACAATGCTTAAATGTCAGGAAGTTTGTTTCACATTCGAAATTTCCAGCTACTAATTGCATATGGATCTTCAACTTCTCTGAAATCCAGCATTATTGCTGGTCCATTAGAGAACCCATTTCTTCCATTTTTCTTTCTCTCTCTGAGACTTCTAAGACCTCCTCTCCATCTTTACTCCTAGATAAAACTGCATCTGACTTCATTGGAAGAGCAGAAGCAAGATGAACTGAAATTCCACATGGTCCTCTCCCTTCTTCTAACTCACCTGAATATTTGCCCATATAACCAATGTCTAGTCATTATGGCTCTAGCCCAAGGTAAAATTCTCCACTGTCATTCATTGTAGGGGATTATCTCAGTGTCTCAGTGACTTCCCAACCCCCATGAACCTCAATTTCTTCCTTCTTTCTGATGAATTCTGAAGTTATAGAGTATGCCAGAGTATCTTTATCTGAGACCAGGAAGCTGTAGTCTCTACAAATCATCCCACACAATCACCCCCAAAAGTGACAGGAAACGGAAATGTGAGTTTGAATGGGTTTTTATGCCCAATGAGTCTCCTGTCTTATCAGGAAAGGTATTATTTCTTTCGGTTCCAGACACTGGATGCTGTGTTTGTTTTCCTTGGGGAATTTATTCACATAGTGAATCTGACACTGTTTAGAACTTCTGTTTGGGGGTTTGCCTAGGGATTAAGAGGCCACATTCATCCTATAGATGTCATCGTTGCATAGGTTAACCTACTGGTAAGTGTCAGAGCCCTTGGGATCCAATCACATTCCTAAAACCATACCTCAGCAATAGGGATAAAGCCTTCAACACATGAACGTCTGGGGAACTTTAAGATAAACTATGACACACATGTATTCATGGACTTATTATCTAATGGATAAATATTCACAACATGTCTATCTTTCAGAAAATTGCTGTCCTCATTCTGCTTTTGCTTTTATTTCAAACACATTAGTCAAAACTCCTTATGAGAAAGCTTACTATAATCTGCATAATGAATTATGGATTCCATTCTGTATTTTTTTTGCTACATGCAAATATAAAAACTGCCTTTACAGATTATGACAACCATTCAGAGAGAGACTTCTATGAACTACAAGAATCCAGGTGTCCCATTCTCAGCTTTAATGGGAACCAGGCCCTATGTCAAAACACTAGCAAGCAGGTGTGCCTGTGCTCAAGTGTCATAGCAGCAAAGTAGTGCCCAGGCACACCAGGAAAGACTGGCTGCAAAAGGAGTTCACATCCCTGCTATCCCTGATTCTCTGTTTGCATGATCTCAAACCTGCAAGCTTAAAAGATCTGAGGCACTCTTCTCAGATGCTCATTTTGAAATCAAACTGAGATAGGCCCAGTTTTTCCTCCAGACCTTTTCGTTGATCCCTCTGTAAGCTTTCTCCTTGGTTAATGTCAAGCCACGAAGACTTTTGAGATCTTCTCACTTAACTGTTTTTTGTTTGCTTGTTTGTGTGTTTGTTTGTTTTAACTAGCTGGCATGTTCACCGTCCCGCGTGGACATGTCTTTCCAAACAGACAGGGATATAAGCCTCCCACCAAGAAGCTGTACTTTCCATTCTGTGTTAATGCCAGGCGTGAGAGGAATCTGCAGCCTGTGGCTTTGGCAAAGCAGGTGGCTGACTTCAGAGCCCCCACAGAAAGGCAGAACGTGTGAACAGGGCCTTACCTTTGGGGATGGTGATCTGACAGCCCAGGTCACTGTCCTGTTGCAGCTGAGAATAAGCCACTTCCTGCAGCCGTGCCCGCTCCAGCTCCAAGAGGCTCTGGATGGGGACTGACCTCAGGCGCACACTGCGGCCAGACATGCTGTTCCAGGTGAAGTCACCCTGCAGACCGAGGGAAAACATGAAGCGTTACACAGTTCCCTCATTTGTCACAGACTTCCTTCTCTCTTAGACAGTGACAAAGGCAAACACATTTCACATTTGTGTTCTACAGCTGGTTCTCTTGTCCCCAAACCAAGTTCTGTCTTAGCTTAGCATGAATTTTCTTAGTTGGTTGCAAAAATCCAATTCGCTAAAATGACTCCTGGGTCAAAAACTCTCGTCTGAAGAAAACCACGAGGAAAGAGGTCACAAGGGGGCTATTTTTTTCTTATAGGTATATATAGAAACTGATTTTTTGTGTGTATTTTCATAACAGGTAAAACTGCTTGTCCTTGCTACCATGTGTGGCTCATATAGGGGACAAATGTGTTTTGAGAGAGAACTGTGTATCATTGTTTGTACCGTGTGTTTTTTAGTCCCTCTACCAACTCACTTTTACTTTATCAATAACATAATGGCAGCATTGAATAAATGATATTGCTAAATTATCCTATATAACAATATAATTTCTACTTAGTATCCAGTGGAATCTACTTCAGCAGTCCCCATGGATTTTAAAATATATAGATGCCCAAGACTTTTATTTTAAACTTTCAGTATTGCCATATATATCCTCTTGTATGATTTGAATAATTTCTAAATTTCTTTTCCTACCTAGCACAATTTAGATAATGTATAAATCATTGTTACAATAATGTATCATTTAGAAAATCATGGCAAAAGAGAAAGATTTGTACATGTTCAGTACAAATGTAAGATTTTCATTTTAAAAAATATTTACTGCATGGTCAATTCTATCTGTGGATGAAGGTCCCCCAAACACAGTACTGGGCATTATTTCAACATTGAACACTTATGTAATATATGCTTAAGGAACATTATATCACTACGGTAATATAATACCAACAATTATAATATGGTACTGGTACAGGAGATGAATATATATCTCTTTACATATAGGTTGAATAAGTTTCACAAAATTCTAAGGAACAAGCTAAAAGTATATGACTTTAAAGTCTATGGCAAAATAGTGACCACCATTTCTACTTACAGCACTTTCATGAACCATGTTTTTTTAACAAAATAAGTACAAACAGATGATAAGTAATGATTCAACTTTATAGAGACATTTGATTCTAATGTGCTCTACACCAGTAAATCTAGGCATGTTTTCCTACAACTGTAAGGGCACATTTTGTGTGTACTTACACACCTCTGCTGTCTGAGGAGAGTGGTGCCTCCTAAGCACACCGGATATTGGGAGAATGTGATGACCCATGAAAAAAACTACTTCCCACTTCCCACTCCTCTGAAACTCACCATCCCTTGCTTCCGAAGAGGTTATTCTCAAATCATAGATAATAAACACAGTGCCATGGATTCAAAGAGGCAGCATTTCCTCCACAACCAAGAGGGCATTTTGTTGGTAGTAGTGGTTTTGACTTTTATGAAGAACGTCCAGTGGCTAGTAAGCACTCACATGTTCTCAGCAGGTTTTGGGAGGGTGATGTGGGGAGAAGAATAAAGTGGCAAATATACCCCCAAGAGAGTAGGCTACTGACATACCCGGTCAATTGATGAATAGTACAAGGCCAGTATATTCTTTTCTTTCCTCTGTCTATTGGAACATGCTCAATTTTAGGCAGTTAAGATCTGGGGACTCAGGTTTTGGTTGTGCCCCTCACTCACATCCACAGAGGTGTTATGTTGTCTGTGAGTTGCATTTTCCCCAGATGAGAAATCTTAGATGAGTTTGTGAGATTAAATTTTGCTTCACAATTGTTTGCTGGCATGTACGCATGCGTGTGTGTACAGACACAAGTGTGTCAAAGAATACATGTGGAAGTCAGAGGGCAACTTATGACGATTAGTTTTTTTCTTCTATTCTGGGGATCCTTATGTTGAACTCATGTTCCTGAGACAGTATTAAGTACATTTACTCCCTGAGCCATAGTGCTGGCCTATGTTTGTGCCTTTTAGATATGAGGTTTGGATAGCTAAGGAAACTGGTTTTGATCTAAGTGTCAAAATGAAACTACAGACCCTTTTTTAAAAAGTATTTAAAAATGTGACCTGTAAAGGACTCAAGTACCAATTAGCTGAGATTGGCAAACCCTTTCTGTCAATGGTCAGACAGTAAATATTTCATGTTCTGTAGGCCATCTTGATCTTGTCTCAACAACTTAACTGCCTCTCGGGTATTTGAGTAGCCATAGATAATTTAGAAAAGAATGCATTGCAGCATATTTCCATAAAACTTGTTTACAAAATTAGATATGCAGGCTGCATTTGACTGGTGGCCTACATACAGTCTCCCAATCTCTGAACTATAGTTTCAAATGAAATTCACTGATCCCTGCGATCATATTTTGTTTTTATTTACTCTATCCTCCTGGTAAATTCAAACAATATTCAGAAGCATGTACTATATGGTAAGCACTGTAGTAGGCTTGAGTTTATTTAGGTGGCTGCACAGTCTTTGTCTTCAAAGAGTTAACTTTCATGTAGGAAGAACACAGTCTAGAAAGTACACAGATTGTGGTGTTAGAAATAAGCATCACATAGCACATCAAATGCAATGGGTGCCTGAGGACAGAGCTGTACCATCTGTCTGCAGATCAAAGAAGGATTTGTAGATAAGGTAATGTTTTGATGGAGACTTGAAAGTTGACTAAGAGGGATAGGGGTTTTTTACAGCAGAAAGTCAAATTTGAAGCAAACACTAGTTGCGAAGGTAATGAGTTTGAAGACACAAGCTTATTACAGGCATCTGGAAGAATGGAAATAGCAGTGGGTAAAGGCCAGCAGAAGACAGGGTGTAAAAATTCTCTGAAGCCTTCTGTGTGAGCAATGCATAGTAGATTCATTTTGTTTTTCTGAACACGTAAATGCCAGTATATCAGCAACACTGACTAGAGAGGAATACAACCAGATTTGCAAAGGAAAGGATGGTGCTAAGAAATTTCTTAAAGAAACCAAGGAGAGAACAAGTCAAAGATGAAGAGATAAGAAATGCAGAGATGTTGGGCATCAGGGCATGACGGTGCATACATGTGAGCTTAAAACTGGAAACATAGAGTCTAGAGGATCTTGAGTTTGAGGACAGCTTGGGCTATGTATATATTATCCTCAAAAGCCAAACACACGTATAGAGAGGGGGAGGGAGGGGGAGTAAGAAAGAGAGAGAAAGAGAGAGAGAGAAATATCAAATTAGGCATTTTGATTCAAACTTGAAAAGACATTTTAATGAGCCAAATAGAATTGTTAGTATACAAGTATAAAAGATAAAAGTGATTATATGTGATCCAGGAAGACTTCATCTGTGGTACCCATGCCTACTCATCAGATCTCATGGAAAAAATAAGACATAAGCACAAAACTCAGTGATAGCACAAAATTACAAAATCATTCCCAGAACGATTGAATGAAAAGGAGATGTGTGTGTGTGTGTGTGTGTGTGTGTGTGTATGTGTGTGTGTATGTGTACGTGTGTGGCACATGTGTGTGTTTCACTTGTATGTGTATTTGATACCAGGAGGGACACTACAAATTATCTCCTAAAGCACAAAACACTTTGCCATAGTAAATGTCTATCTGATTCAAAATACTAATAGTTCAGAGGGTGAGTAACCCTGACAGAGTATACATTAGGCCTGCTGTTAAACTTAAATTACAGAGAATCCTCTTAAAATGATGGTGTCAGGAAATCCTAACAATCATTTATACATTTTGTTTATCACCAGAGGCACAAACTATATATTTTATGCATCTTATGTAGGACTCTGTATATTATGAACGTAAGTAAAACCTTAGGACCTATTTTTGAACCAGCCTCAAGAAATGCAAATGCCACAAACCAATTTATAAAAGGCAAACAAAAGTCTCAATAAAATAGAATTTTGATTAACTGGAGAGCAACTCACCAACAGCTTTAACTAGAGAGATATCTTTTTCATCAGAAGTGTATGTATCAACATTTAGGCAAAAAGAATCAAAAGGCAAACCCCAAACCCAATATTTATGTTTTATTCAGAAAGGTCGTTCTTCTGAGCCAGTCTGTGTGCCTTTACAAACAGACTTGATTTTTCCATGAAATAATATTGATTGAAATAATTTTGGTTTGAGCCTCCACCACACTGTTTTGTTGTGTGTTTGGGTTTGGACTCTAAATTGGAGTATATCTCTTTAACCACACCCTAGAATAAACTGTCCAGACCAAGAAGGCCAGAAAAGGATTGGTGTAGGCCTGCTCAAAATATTTTCTGTGGACCCAGTATTTCAGAATCAGCGGGGGCAGATTTTCACTATCAAATTTGCACATTCTTTAGCTTTAAGGCAGGCTTCAAAATTTAAGGTACCAAGCCTCATGGCCAACTATATATGAACTTTATGATAAGACTCTGAACATCCTTGAGCCTCATCTTTCTCAACAGTGCATGAGGAAAGAGGAAGAATTAACTCTCAGGCATGTGTGGATCACACAAGACAATGTAAATGAACTTCTTGTGGAGGGCTTATTAGCTCCTGACAGGCTGTGAATAAGTGGTAATTTAAGTTATAATTAATATTAATCATCACTCTAAATTTGCATCTCCACCTGAAGCCTGGCAATTTTAGTGATATGAAAATCTCTTAAAAGAAACGTGTGCTGAATTTCTGAATAAGTAGTTCCACTATTTGTTGGAGTGGCTTTCTGTTTTCTAGGTGCCGGTTGAATCGTGGGTTCTTGAAGCCAGGAAGCCCAAGGTAAGCTTAGGAACTAAAGAATGGTCTGCCATTTAGATCACATATGTCACGAGTAAATCTTTTCCATTTTTCCTAAGGTGGTCAGTGTTGTGTAATAAGCATTAGCAAAGGCGCTCTTCCCGGGTAATCACAATGCAGCACTGAAGCATAGCATAAGTTGAAATACCAAGCCCAATAACCAAACGCTTTCTGAAAAGGTCTGTCTTGATCTTTATAACTTCAAAATAAACACACCACAATGACAGGAAACCTCC